CCAACCTTCCTTCCGAGGAGTGGCTGGTGGGTTTGAACCACCAGCCTTCTGGTTAGCAGTCAAGTGCCTTAGGCACTATGCTGCCAGAGCTCCTAATAGTATAGTTAGAGATACAATGTAAATAACTTGTATCTATAAGGAGCTCTGGTAGCATAGTGCCTAAGGCACTTGACTGCTAACCAGAAGGCTGGTGGTTCAAAACCACTAGCCACTCCTCGGAAGGAAGATGGGGCAATCTATTTCCATAGTGATACTGCCTCAGAAACCTAAGGAGGGGTCACTATGAGTTGGGGCCAACTTGACGGCACATAACAACAACAACAACAACATCTATAAATTGGAACACTTATCCTAACGAAAAATGTCAGAAAGTGAATGTTTAAGAATGCTGTTGTTAGTTCCTGTGGAGTTGATTTCAACTCATGGCAACCCCGTGTATGTCGGAATAGAATTGTGCCTCATAGGGTTTTCAAGGCTGTAATTTTTCAGAAAGAGTCTGGCAGTACAGTGGATAAGTGCTCAGCTTCAAACAAAATGGTCAGTAGTTTGAATCCAGTAGTAACACACACTGCAAAGAGAAAGATTAGGCAGTCTTCTTCCATAAAGATTTATAGCTTGAGAACCCTATAAGGAAGTTCTACTCTGTCTTATAGTATGAATTTGACACGATGAAAATGGGTTTCTCTATTTATTTAATCCTTCAGAAGCAGATCATCAGGCCTATCTCCTGATGCACCCCTGGATCAGTTCAAACTGCCAACTGCCAACTGCCAAGCTTTCGTCTAGTACTTGATCATTTAACCACGTGTGCCACACACACAAACCAAAAACGAAACTCACTGGGACTCCTTTAAGCATGCTATTTAAAGTTAAAATTTTGAGTACCTAGATTTAATCATACTTATAGATAGCATATGTAGATTTCAAAGACTTTTCAAAATTTTGAATATTTTATTATTATGATACACTTTATTCACTTCATAACTTCAATTTTTAAAATAAATATTTAGATGTTTCCAAGGTAAACAGTCATGTCTCTATATCACCATTGGTTCATCTAAAATTTTGTAAAATATATAATCATAAAAAGTGAAGTCTAAGAAAATCTTACTTTCATTAAATTCTTTTTTAAATAACATAAATATTATATGAATACTTAAGAAGAATTTTTTAAAGGTAATTAAATCAGCTGAAATCCAAGTGAAAAGAAAAGAACAAGAGAGCCAAGTTCCATTTATTTTGAATATGCTTTTGTGTATAAATTGGACCTTGATAGAGCTTATGAACCATTAACTTCAATTACATTGAAAACTTCAAATAAACCCTCGACATTGTAAATCTCATTAATTTTAAACAGATAGGGACTAGAATAAATGGATTTTGGAATAACTCAATCCAGGTTACCTAATATTAAAACATAATTGGAATTCAGTTTCTTTAAATTGCTAGCCTTGTAGAAAAGAATAGATTGCTATATTAAGTTTATTTCATTTGTACCTATTTTTGAAAGTTTCAGAATGATACTTTTATAAAGCCATGATTCTGATATTGAGAAAATAAGGCAATTCACTGCCATTTCCCTACATTTTCTTAAAATTTTAGAACAAATTACAGCTCTTAAAAAGGAACATTTTACTATGAGGTGGTTGAACTAAATATCAAATTCTGAACACACAAGGATCAATTATATATATATATATGTATAATAGTGTATTATATATATTTTTGAGTTTTTCACAATCATTTCTATAGTGATGAGATGAAGCAATTTGACTCTAATATCAGCCTAATGGCTAGAATCAAAATATAATGATAGTAAGTATGCTGCTGAGAATGAAAGATATTTTGTTAAAATAAGAATAAATAAACCCAAAGCAAAAGTAAATTATTTTGAAAACTTTGCTATGATTTAGAAGTCTGGCATGATCCCATATACTTGTAAAGAGTGAAGTTACTACATGAAAGTATGATTAAACTGATTTTTATGCTTTCTGTACCAGCCTTTATAATAGTTGATTGTGTTTTATACAATAATTATGCGTTTGGGAACTGCTTTTCAGCAGAGCTCTTATTATTAACATCCTCATTTTAAGGAAAAAAGTGTTAAACCTAGAGCAGATAGTCATGTATTCTATATTTCTCCAATTACATTTACAAAGAAACTATACAGAATAGAAAAAATACAATTTAAACCAATCTGTCTTAAAAACCTGTAAAAAACATATTGTTGCTATTGTTGTTACATGCCATCGAGTCAGACCCAACTCATAGCGACCCCTCCTTGGGTTTCCCAGGCAGTATCACCACGGAAGTAGACTTCCCCATCTTCCTTCTGAGGAGTGGCTGGTGGGTTTGAACTGCCAGCCTTCTGGTTAGCAGTCAAGTGCCTTAGCCACTATGCTACCAAAGCTCCCACTGTTACTATTAGCTGCTGGTAAATTAGCATGAGGACTCCATGCATAATGGAATTGAACCAAGGTAATCCATGGGAGTTTCATTGTCTGATTGTAGGAAATAGATTGCCAGACCTTTGTGTCTAGTCTGTCTTGGTCTAGAAGCTCCATTGAAACTTGATCAACACCATGCTGTTAGGTGCCATGGAGTCAGCTCCAACTCCTAGTGTCCCTACGTACAACAGAATGAAACACTGCCTGGTCCCAATGATCGGCATCATAGCAACACATAAACTCTATTGACACACGGGTGATGGATGAGCTTGAGATGCATTAGCAGTAAATCAAACGCAGGTCTCCCTCATGGAGGATGGGAACCCTACCCCTGAAAAATCAAGGAACTCAATATATACATGCAGCATGAGAATATTCATACCTGAGAAGAAATGTGCTTTGAAGCCCTTCTTGGATACAGTATTGTCAGATTTGAATTCAATTCTCATGTTATTGAACTGAGATGTGATCACTTCAGGTACTTCAGCACCACAGAATTTGCCATGCAATTTAGATTCAGAGGAAAGGCCACTCCAGATCTCTACATAATCATATTTGCAAACCTATCAAAGAAATGGTTATTGTAGTCACCAGATTTGAGAATACCAGATGATTGACATTTACTTTTTGAAAAACGTATCATGTTTTTTTCATTCTTTTGTGGTTATCAAACGAATAGACAAGTAACAATAAAAGAAAATCAAAAAAATCCTTCAAATATGAGTCAGAGGCATGAAAACAAACTAGAAAATAATTTTGCTTTGAATATCTCCAAGAGATGTGTACACAAATTCATAGTTGTTTGTATGTATTTATAGCATGCATCTTTCAAAAAATAGAAAAAGATAAAGAACAGAGATAAATATTTGTTGAGATGATGGTGTTGACTGTCATAAGAAAAGCAGCAGTTAATTTTATTTTTAAAATTGTTAGATCTTCACTAGGAACTGTGAAAATATTTTTTCAAGTAATGTTTTAATAAATACTTATAACAATTACATAAAATTGTTACATTTAGTTCTGTGAAACAACCACAAGCAATGGCAATAACTTTGTTCATTGTAGAGAAAAGAAAACTGAGGTTCAGCAAGTTTTATCTATTTTGCCCAAAATTATACACTTCCTATGTGGAAGTGCAATGACTAATAGCAATAGAGTTTTGCATAGTTCAGTACTGTTGCCCACAAACACTACATTCTAATTAGAATGACATCACTAGTAACTTTCAAAGTGAAAGAGAGACACTGGTTGATAAGTAAAAGGATCATGTCTTTCAAATTTATTAAAAGGACAGAGTTCTTAATTTTTTTTAATTGCTAGCTACTGTGATGTTACTCTGTAGAACTGCTGCAGTGCAAACAAATAAACTCTGCATTCAGGGGAATGAGGCACAAATTTATGTCAAAGGTAGACGCAGTCTGATTTTTATGTAATGTACCGACAACACCAAAATGGAAGAAACTAAGTGAATTCCAGGTATTCTTAAATAATGTTAAGGTCATCAACAAATGTTTCCATAACACACATTTCCAAATTCCTATAGGGTATATTTTAAAGAACACATTTTGCATGAATAACCTTATTCCATAACTGTATAATTAGCAAGTTTAGCGAAGCATGTGATTGAACCCTGGGGTGTGATCAGTAGTTTGCAATATGTCAATTCAAATTACCAGTCATTGGGACACTAATTAGATGATAACTGAGCAAAATGGTTTTTAGAAATAAATGAAAGAATATTTCTATGTTGTTATAACTGCAATTTTTGTTTAAGAGTGCTTTAACATAGTTTGGGAGGATGTCCCAAGGCTAAGTTGTCTGCTGTTAACTTTCTATTTGGTTATCAATGTAACCAATAAGATAATGCAGTTTAAACATTAACTTGGGATTCTGTAAGTCACATTTTTGCTCTGGACTATTATTTTAAGCAATTAAGACATACAATTATGAAAATGCACCAAATTCTATAATAGCCTTCCACACAGAAACATTGCTGTAAATTATAGAATTCTGGGATATGTTACAGAGTTTATAAATGAATGTCAACCACTACTATGAGAATACTGCTTTCAGAACACAACCCTCTATCTATGCAAAACCCATCTACTCTCCTTCCTGAACACAAACTTGTAGCCTTCTTAGGAACATCTATAAATCATTGAATTAAAATGTCATTCTTGCCACAACTAAATACTTTAGGGTAAACTCTGAGACTGAAAAATATTCAATATCAAGTTCATATCAAATCACAGCCTTGGCAGGAAAATTCTCATTTTCAAAAAGTAAAGCTCATATGAAAGCTTTCCTAAAAATGCTATATAAATTATTTTCTTCATTATAACATTTCCTCAAATTTGAGATAATTTTTGAAGGAAAGTAATGTTTGATGTGAATAAAGTATTTTTTTTAATATCAAATGCTGTCTTGGCCATCATAAAACTTATACACAATGTAAAAATAATTTCTAAGTCTGGCTAAGCTTAAAGATTCTCCATTCTCTGGCATAAAAAAATTAATCATATTTCCAACATCAATTTCCTTTAGCAAAACACAAAAATTAGGCACCGTGGCTATCATAGGCAGAATTAAGACAAGAAATGAGAGTAATAAAAAAACAAAGAAGGATAAACAAGAGCAAGATTGTAGTCTAAACTTCATAAATATTACCTATAATTATTGCCACAAGGGCAAAGATATATTTATGGTTTATCATTTTTTGGCAAGTGTTTAACAGATACAGCAAAGACAAAATAACTTTTATGAATTAACTTAATCATATTTGGAAATTTTGAATAATGCTCATTTTAAATAAATACTGAAAAAAGTAGTTGTTGGAAGCAAGAATAGAAAAGGAATTAGAGAAAGAAAGAAAGCTAAAACAAAACAAATACTTGACACCTTTTCTCTGGAATTAAACCAATGTTCACCATGCAAAGGACACATTCCCAAAAGTTCTCATGTCTAGACCTGGCATTCCATTTGAATTTGGTATGTGTATAATAGCACATAGACATTTTTCAAATAAATTATTTTGTTTGTTTAAAAGTGGTAATGACAGAGAACTGCATATTTCATGAAAGAAAGATAGTTTCATCTAAATGCATTTTTAATTGAAGTTAAAAATAAATTAATTTTTCTTTTTATGAACCATGAGCACATTCATAATGATACACTACTTATATAATGAAAATATATAATTTCCATAAGTAAAATATACCAGTTTCACCCAAATGGATAGTTTTTTTGCTATGACACAATCAGTGGATTTTGTTTATCTTCCATATAAAAGGCTATAAAGCTGACCCTAAATATTTCACATTTTGTTAACAAATCAATACATGGTATATATTAAATACAGGGTGAAAAAACTTCCACTGAGTAATTTTCAATCTCCTAGAAACAGTCCAAAATATTATCCCAATTCAACAAATATCATAAGCAGTTACAGAAAAGAGCAGTAGACCAAAAAATAAAAAATAAAAGACTATAACATCTACACTGTTATACTACTGCAATGTATACATTTTTTGTTGTTTTCTAGATTGTCTTTGGAATTACCAAAACACAATAGGAAATACTGTATTTAGTGTTCACTTACTTCATTGCCTTCCAATTCAAAAAACTCAAATTTCATAGATATTCTATACTGGGTTGGTGCAACCACTTGCCACACACAGTTTTTATTAGGAGGGTACTCCTTAGGCCAGCCTGGGGTGGTTATGGTGCCATTAAGTTTGGTAAGAAGTCCTCCACAAGCCGCTAGAAGGAAAGAAAATGAAAATGTGTTCCCTTATTAATAAAATCATACTTATTCAGTACCTTTCCATAGCTCCCCAAACATCTCAGCATTAAATTTCAACTACTTTCTGGATCTGAACATGTAGAAAGTTGCAGTCTCTGAGTTATCTTTCATAGTTCCTTATCCTTTAGCTCAATAAATGTAATCAACCAATTCAATATACAAAGAGTTAGAAGTTTGTAGCTTTTGTGCAAAGCAAATTATGCTTGTGCTGCAAGGTTTAGACCAGTCTAAAGTTGGGCAGTAAGAAGAAAACTGGGCCTCACTTTTATACTTTAAATGGCTAAACAATATCTGCACTGTGGGGTTGTTACGAAAATATATATATACCGATCTAGGACCAAAATCAACTGTTTATTTGCGCAAATACTTCTTTCAAAGACAATAAAGTCATTTTCACTTGAACTAGCAGGTAATATACACTATGATAAATATAACATATTTAATATTAAAAAAAATTGGTTTGAATTATTTTTCTCTTTTCAAGACAATCTATATAAAAGAGGTACTATTTATGATTCTGTTCTAATTGAAAATTCTGATTAATCGTGAAATTAGCAAAATGAGAGTGTCCAAACACATGTTAAGCAAAAATAACATATAAGGTCTCACTGTCATCGAGTCAGATCTGACTCATAGTGATGCCTCCTTGGGTTTCCGAGGTAGTATCACTATGGAAGTAGATTGCCCAACCTTCCTTCCAAGGAGTGGCTAGTGGGTTTGAACTGCCAGCCTTCTGGTCAGCTGTCAAATGCCTTAGGCACTACACCACCAGAGCTCTCAAACATATAAGGTACACAATTAATAATAAGTCCTAGGGATTCAGTGTTTCCTAAAGTAACTAGTACTTTAACTGCCTTTATTTGCATATATGAATATGTATGTGTTTATATATATTTATTACTTAATTTATAAATATATAAGAACACTATGTATAATTTTAAGCAGCATCATAGTAAATGGAAAAAAGATTGAAGTTGTCAAAGATTTCATATTACTTGGTTTCACAATCAACACCAATGGAAGCAGCAGTAAAGACATCAGATGACATATTGCACTGGCAAAAGACCTCTTACAGGGCTGAAGACCAAAGATGACTCTTTGAAGACTAAGGACTAAATAAAGTGCGCCTAACCCAAGCCATGGCATTTTCAATCACCTCACATGCATGTGAAATCTGGACAATTAATAAGAAAGATCAACAAGAGTTGATGCTTTTGAGTTGTGATGTTGGCGAAGAATACTGAAAGTACCATGGACTTCTAGGAAAATGAACAAATCTGTCCTGGAAGATGTGCAGTTGTAGTGCTCCTTGGAAGTAAGAATAGCCACACTTCATGTTGTCAGAAGGGACCCTTCCCTGGTGAAGGATATCATGCTTGGTAAAGTGAAGAGTCACCAAAAAAGGGAAAGACTGTCAACAAGATAGATTGACACAGTAGCTGCAAAGATGGCCTCAGGTATAGCAAGGATTGTGAGGATGGTACACATATGGGAAGTGTTTCGTTCTGTTGTACATATGGTTGCTATGAGTCAGAGCCAACTCAACAGCACTTAACAACATTATATTTTTACTTTTTTTGGTAAATTAAAATGAAGCAAAATATTTATATCTAGAAGCCACATAGAAATTATTATCTTATTACTTATAATTGTTAAATTACAATTGTTAAATGTCTTGTAATTGTCAGGCATACAATGGTCTATAAATAAATAAATAACCTGTATTTTCTTTATTATTCTCTACTTAAGAGGTTTAATAGTTTAATAGGCAGATAGGTAGCATGGAGATTTTAAAAAACGAAGCAGAAGAATTCTACTTTTAAGAAGAAATAAGAAGTCTAATTTTTATTTACTAGGTCATGAATAGGCATGCCATTTATTCATTTTTCAAATAATTTTCCCACCTTTGCCATATATGATGCCTTCTGTTACAGACATAGCAGAGAACATGGTCTTTTAAATTTTCATTTTGGTAAGAGAGATTTAAAAAAAAATAAAACCTACTAAATACATTTTGTTGCTGTTGTTATGTGCTGTCGAGTCGGCCCCTCCTTGGGTTGCCGAGGCAGTATTACTACGGAAGTAGATTGTCCAGTCTTCCTTCGGAGGAGTGGCTGATGGGTTTGAACTGCCAGCGTTCTGGTTAGCAGTCAAGTGCCTTAGGCACTATGCTACCAGAGCTCCTACTAAATACATAAACATAAATAACTTAAATTGCTACAAATTCCATGAAGATTATTTTGGCAGAAATTTTAAGAAAAGAGTAAGGGAAGAATAGGCTGGATGTAGGAAGATGAAGTAACTTGTTTTGTTCATCATTTGAGGGATAAGCTGACAATAGAGTGAAGGCAGGAGAAATGGATAAAAGCCAATTTTAAATTCTGAAGGAATTGGATACGGTAACAAAACATAGTGAGACATTTTCATCTTATAATGTCAATAGGAAATGTAGATAAACATCACAAAATGCCTTTATTTAATCAACTATTTTTTTAATACAACATATATTTAGCTCTTGCTTTTTCTCTGACTGTACTAGGTAACGGAGGTGAAAATATGAGTCAAATTCAGTTCCCTTCACTTTAATAAAGGAGATATGCCCATAAACTCATACCGCCCCCTCCTTGGGTTTCTGAGGCAACATGTGCTAAGAAAAAGATAAAAAGAAATAATGAAAAGGTAAATGGATATGTAAAGAGCTAGATACTGAGAGAAATAGAAATAGATATACCAACACTAAATCAAACCCACTGCCACCAAGTCACTTCTCACTCCTAGAGACCTTATAGGACAGAGACCTACCCCATAGATTCCCAAGGCTATAAATCTTTAGAGAAGCATATTGTCTCATCTTTTTCCCACAGTGTGGCTGGTGGGTTCAAACCTCTGACCTTTTGGTTACCAGCTGAATGCTTTAAACACTGTACCATCAGAGCTCCTTAGAACTATATATTTATTTCTATATATATATTTGCTAACTGCAAGGTTGTAAGTTGGAGACCACAGAGAGGCATCTCAGAGGAAAGGCCTGGTGACACAATTCCAAAAAGGCAGCCATTGAAAACTCTATGCAGCACAGTTCTACCCTGACATACATGGGGTTGCCATGAGTCAGAAATGACTCAACAATAGCAATGTACACACATATACAGAAAGACAGACAGACACACGCAAAATAAATAAATAAAATAAATAAATAAAGGCAGGCCTGTTCACCAAAGAAGAAAAGGACTGATTCTATAAGAAGGATCCAAGCAAGGTTCCACATTGACTGTGACTATGAATTGAGTTTTATTAGATATGGAAAGAGGCCACTCTAGGGAAAAAGAATGAAAAGAGGGAGAAAGAATAAGAAAGAACATAAGAAAGAAAGAAAAAAAACTGAGGAGGGGAGTATGCAAGCTGGGAACAACATGTGCAAATTGAGTGTTACCTTCACAGCTCCTTTTGTCAGGTCCCAGTTCATAGCCAGGCTCACAGGCACACTGATAACTACCCAGGGTGTTTAGACAACGCTGCTCACAGCCTCCATGATCAGGTTTGGCACACTCGTCTTCCTCTATAAAGAAGATGATAGTTATCGAACAACTAGAGTATTTTGGTTTAAATTAAAAAAAAAAAAATCCAAACCCATCGCTACTGAGTCCATTTTAACTCATTGCTACTCCCATTGGGTTTCCAGGGCTATAATCTTTAGGGAAGTAAAGATTATCAGCAGAGCAGCTGATGATTTTGAACTTCCAACTTTCTGGTTAGCAGTCAAATGCCTTAGGCAGTGCACCACCAGAGTTCCTTTAGGTTTAAATTAAAAAGGCAACCATTGCCGTGGAGTCAGACCCGACTCATACCGCCCCCTCCTTGGGTTTCTGAGGCAGTATCACTGCAGAAGTAGAGTGCCCAACCTTTCTTCTGAGGAATGGCTGGTGGGTTTGAACCACCAGTCTCCTGGTTAGCAGTCAAGTGCCTTAGGCACTATGCTACCAGAGCTCCCTTAGGTTTAAATTAGTGGGGCATAATTATTATAAATAAATAAATAAAGATTATTCTTAATGGCTTTGAATGAAACTAGGAAAACTGATTTTTTTTTTTTTAAGGGAGCAACAGCAAATTTGTGTTGCCACAAACTAAGAATTGTAAAAAACAAAGAGAAAGACTAGAAACCTATGGCATAGCCAAGAGACGGACACCTTATCAGATATAAGGTGTAATTTTTATCTGAATTCAAGGTCAAACAGGTATTAAAAACCAGAGACTTTTCAGAATAAAACAGAAAAGCATACTGAAAAACCATCATTTCACTTGTTAATTCATAATGTACAGTAGTTTACTAGATGTATCCTGGAAAATGCTTGAAGGAAATGTCATTATTAAGAAATACATTGTGGTGAATATAAACAGAAAAAAAAAAGACCTTTTTAAAATTCAAAGCATTCAGTGTTTTTTATATACACACTTTGATCCAGAAAATATATTAATATCATGTTTCTTATCAATATATAAATTCTACTTAAATTATATATGTTGTTGTTGTTGTTATGTGCCGTCGAGTCGACCCCGACTCATAACGACCCCTCCTTGGGTTTCTGAGGCAGTATCACTACGAAAGTAGGATTGCCCAACCTTCCTTCCGAGGAGTGGCTGGTCGGTTTGAACCACCAGCCGTCTGGTTAGCAGGCAAGTGTCTTAGCCACTATGCTACCAGAGCTCCCAAATTATATATCCTGATGACTATGAGTATGTCACATACATTAGAAAATTTCATATACTTCTATATGTATTTCATATATTTTTTTTTTAAATTATATATGAGAACATAAAAATATATGAAATACATATAGAAGTATATGAAATTTTCTAATGTATGTGACATACTCATAGTCATCAGGAATAAACTATGAGTTAGACAAACAGTAAGCAAGATCCTCTGAAGAAATTATACATCTACAAAAAATAGGCATTTTAGTAACTAAATATGTAAATAATATCACATGAAAGAATCTTGATAGCATGTTTCTTCTACTGTGAAATATAGCATATACAGTAAAGGTAAAACATGTAAGTGTACATTTTAAGGAACACTTTCAATACATATAGAAAATATTTCAAAGAATACTTTTACTACATAGAATATTTTACTATATAACATTCCTGTTTTTGTTGCCAGGTGCAATAAAGTGGGTTCTGGCTCATAGTGACCCTATGAATAATGGAACGAAATAACTGCTCAGTCCTACACCATCCTCATGATCATATGTTTGAGCCTTTGTTGCAACCACTATGTCAATCTGTCTCATTGAGGATCTTCATCTTTTTTGCTTACCCTCTACTTTACCAAGCATGATATCCTTCTCCAGGGACTAGTCTCTCCTGGCAACATGATCAAAGTATGAGAGAAAAAGTCTTGCCATCCTCATTTTTAAGGAGAATTTCAGCTATACTTTCTCCATGACAGATTTGTTTGTTCTTCTGGTACTCCATGGGATATTCAATATTCTTCACTAACACCATAATTCAAATGCATCAATTCTTCTTCAGTCTTCCTTATTCATGCATATGAGGTGACAGTATTAATACATATAGTAAAAGTAGCAACGTTCTCTGTTTTCCAATTCATATGGCCAATACTAAGTAACTTACAGGGTACATCCATTATAATTTTGTTCTTTAAATCATAGAAATTTTTAAACATTTATCCTTCTAAATTCTGACACAGCACAGCAGAAAACATCATTACTTTTATAATAAACATTGTAGAGAAAATTTGGTTTCTCTTTCCATAAAAGAATTTTATTCTACAATGACACACAACATAAGTACCTATGAATCTTCTAAATGCATATTTGATGTTACTATGTGCATTAAAATAGTTTTCTTTTTACCTCAGAAATAAATCCTTCACCATACTTATTCCATCTATATGCTGAAAAAGTAATCCGAGAAGCTGGACTAGATGAAGAATATAACATCAGCATTGGAAGAAGATTCATTAACAACCTGCAATACTCAGATGACACAACTTTGCTTGCTGGAAGTGAGGATGACTTGAAGCACTTACTGATGAAGGTTGAAGACTATAGTCTCTAGTATGGATTACATCTCAACATAAAGAAAATATCCCCATAAATGGACCAATCAGCAGCATCGTGTTAAATGGATAAAAGATTGAAGTTGTCAGAGATTTCATATTACTTGGTTCCAAAATCAACACCCATGGAAACAGCAGTCAAAACATCAGACAACATATTGCACTGGGTAAATCTACTGCAAAAGATCTCTTTAAAGCATTGAAGAGTAAAGATGTCTCCTTAAAGAATAAGGTGCACCTAATTCAAAACATAGGAGCTCTGGTAGCATAGTGCCTAAGGCACTTGACTGCCAACCAGAAGGCTGGCGGTTCAA